GATACATCTTGTCTCCCCCTGGATGGACCCAGGAATTTTTTTGAGTGGGGGCGCTGTTGAAAAATATATATATATTGAAGACAAACATTTAAAAAATAAAATAATAAATATAAGAATTTAACTTTTTGTGGCTTGACTGACACTTGCCGAGCCGTGTCAGTTTTAGATCCAGATTATTTGACCTTTTAGTCATATCCATGTTTCCTAGGTTAACATGGATGTTGGGCAGTAAAGAGTGAAGAAACAAGTGAGCCGAATTATTTAACTTTCTTTAGGACTAAAAATATCTGTGGACTTTCCGAAAAAAGAAAAAAAAATCTGTGGATCATATAGTGAGGTATTTTTCAATAATTGGATGGGAATATGAAAGTGTGTGAGAGAGAATTAATTACCATGAATGTGGGGCGGTAGAGAATGAGAAAGAGATAATTATCATTTGGATCCGAAAAAGTCGGTGGGGACAAGAATGTGAAGTGGGGTATTTTTACAACTTGAGCGGGGGCAGTTCTAAATTTTAAACAAATATATAGGTAATAATGTAAATAAAAAAATTCAGTGCCCCCAATTGAGCGTTAACTAGGTCCATGGCTGATCGTCGCAATCCAGGTCTTATAGAAACAAAGAATGTGGCCAGATTTGATCTTGAGAATTTGGAAATTCTAAGAACCCAAAAGGCTAGAGTTCATTTGCTTCAGGAGACTGATAGATGCACCATGTTTTCCTATCCAAAAAAATAGCTCAATATAGAGCTTTTAATGCCATTGCTGCTATTCAAAAGGAAGATGGAACATGGTCCACTGATATACACCAGATTGAGCAGGAATTTGTGAATGGTAGTTTAGTTGCAATCATAATCAGAAGATCTCTTCTATGCCTATGGAGTCCAGTGTAAAACTTTCTTTGAAAGTAGCTCAAAATTTGGAGAGTCAAGTCACTACTAATGAAATTAAATCAGTTGTTGACAGATTAGGCCCTCTCAAGTGACCAGGCACTGATCTGTTTTCCACCAAGATTCTTTCAACAAGTTTAGAGCATTGTGGGACCTGATGTGGCAAATGCTGTTGAATTTTCCTTCTCAAATACCAAGCTATCAAAGGGCAACTCTTCTTTTATCTGCCTCATTCCCAAAACAAGCAATTGTGTTAAAGCTGCTTACAGACTAATCTCATTGTGTTCTAACAGTTTACAGAATTACTACTAATAAGCTAATGGCTACAAGGTTGAGTTCAGTGCTTGGGAGAATCGGTTGTGAGCAATCAGCTTTTGTGAAAGCGAGAAAATTCAAGATAATGTCATTATGGTGAATGAAATTCTAAGAGGGTTTCATACTACAAAGTTTCATCAGTCAATGGCCTTCTTGTTTCATGTTCTAAAAACTTTTGGATTTGAGGATAAATGGATGGAATGGATAACAGAATGCATCTCTAACTCATGGTTTCCTGTGTTAATAAATGGCACTCCTGCAGGGTATTTTCAGCCAAAAAAGGGTTTGAGGCAAGGTTGCCATCTCTCCTCTCTCTCTCTCTCTCCCCCCCACCCCTTCTTTCTTTTCACACTTATTACAGAATTTTTCTCCTCTATGGTTCAGGCTGAAAGGAATAATGTGTGGGGGGGGGAGAGGTGGTTCACACTAGTGCTGCTGCTTAAATCAAATGGTGATCTTACATACTGCTTTTATGCAGATGATTTCTGATTGTTAAAGCAAGTGTGAGGTCAGCTAAATATATCTTTAAAACTCTCTCGCCCTCTCACGTCTGGAAGTGAATTTTCAGAAAAGCAAGGCCTTCTTCTATAAAGCAGTTAGAAGGAAAAAATTCTCTGCAGAATCTCAAAGATAAACTGTCGTTCCGTGAATATTTGGGGCTTCCTATGATTGATATTGGCTTGAAAAATAAGGATTGTAATGCTCTGACCGACAAGATTGCTGCAAAACTCAATGGGTGGAGCTCTTAATCTATCACTTGCTGGTAGGGTTGAGTCGATAAGATCTGTTGTGTATTCTATTATTCATTATTGGTGTGCTGCCTTCAAATTACCAGTTCTGATTTAGAAAATGATAAATAAATAAAATAAAATAAAACAAAAACAACTTCATTTGGGATGGCAAAATAAATTCCAAGAGACTTCATCTTCTAGAATGGAGTAAGCTTGCTTGTCCAAAATCTGGAGGAGGGTTTGGCTTAAGAAGACTTGCAGAAATAGATAAGGCCACCAAATGCAGTTTATTTTGGGACTAAGAAAGGATAGAATGCGGATTCCATGATTGAAGAATCTTAACCTTAAGCGTGATTCTATTTGGTCTTGTTCATTGATGTATAATAACTCCATCTTCTGGAATAATTTGTTAGAGATCAAGGAATTTATGTCAGCAAACTTCCAATTTCAGATTGGGGATGGGCGGCAAATCTCTAAAAGTTTTTCTTGGAACCGTGGTGGAATGGTGCTTCCTTAGTTCAGACTTATGGTCACAGGATTATCAAATTATTTGATGTTCCTAAAGGAGCTAAGATCAGTTACAACAGAATTCATGTTGAACGAGGCTACTGAAATTTGGAATCAGATTTACTCATGTTCCTATCAATAAAGGCTCTGATTCCATTAGAAGAAAATATGGTCAAGCTACATTTAAGTCTTTCTGAAAATACTATAGAAATGAAACCCCTAAGAGCTACTGGTCCGAGCTGTTTGGAATGGTGGAAGACCAGCAGCAAGTGTGACCTCTCGTTTGGCCATCCAAGTCAAGCTGCTTACTTTGACCAGTTTGCAGCAAAGATGTATCATATAAGTTATTCCAATATGAAATTTTGAAAGCTAATTCAAGAGATCATATGTTTTTCAATTGTAGCTTTGCTCAAGTTATACAGAGGTGGTTGGTAGATCTGTTCAATTGGGATTGGACTTTGGAGCAGGGTGAATAACTTTGATCAGTTGGTGGAATGGTTCGTTTCTCAGTCCAGGACCAGAACCAACTGCAGCAAGCTTTGGAAGTGAACTTTCACGTTTACAATCTGGAATATGTGGTGGTATAGGAACCTGAAACCTCATGACAATGTCTTTGTTAATCCTCAGCAAACTGCTTGTCAAATTATTTGGATATTAAGCTGCAAGAGCTGGTGAGAATGTTCAGTTTTTAATGATTGGAATACTGTGATTGAATATGTTAATGTAAGTGGTTAAGGAGGGAGTTTTGCTTCTTTCTGTGTTGCTATGTTTTTCCTTTTCAATGATCAATTCTTGGTAACCTCCCTGCTTGCCAATTTCTGGAAGCGGTTGTTCTTTAACTATTTTGTAACGGGGATGTCTTCCTCTCCTCCATTTGCCTTTGTGGCTACTTAATAAATGCAGGATCAGGAACAACAAAAAAAAAAAAAAAAAAAAAAGATAGATCACTCACTGTTTCAGCTATTAATGACTTCAATCAAGATAAAACAAAGAAAACAAGTGCTAGCATAGGATGGAAGATCAAAAGTCACAAGATATAGTCAGAAAGTGCATATCAAATATAAAATTGGTTGAAAGAGAAATAGATAGAACTCTACAGAACTCATACCTAAATCAACCACAGACTTCTTAAGAAACAATAACTTCAGATAATTGAGATCTGAACAACAGAATGAAACCACACACAATCAAGACAGGGAAAGTAAGCTGGAGAGGGAATTAATGGACACAATTAACAAGCAACGGCAATTTGGTAATCTGTTCATACATACTGTATTATAATGATTTCTTAATCATTTTACAAATTTCTGAAAAATTTCCACAAATTTCTTAACGATTCACAGATTTCTAAATGATTCAGAGGTAATATGTTGCAAATGTGTGAAAAAACTGAAATGATAGATTCAATTGAAGATGACCTGGTTGAAGCTAAAACAGAAATGAGTTTAGTGAATCCACAGAACTCATGGAGATAATATGTATGTGTGTGTACATATATAGAGAGAGAGAGATAGTGAGTAGAAAAACCTGATTGAGCCAGACAATACTTGATGCATGTGATTGAATATCGAAGTTGTAGTTCATCCAAGAACTGATTCAATCAGTTGTGCATGAGCAAAGAACCTGATCTGATCAGTTAGTTGTTAATGAGCAAAGAAATGATTTGATTGTCCAAACATACCGCGATCGAAGAGGCAAGAGCACCGACATGAGAAAGAGGGTAAACTTCTGCCAAGAGTACCCTAGATCTTCTCCTGCCAGGAGAGTATAGAGGGTTCTGTAGAGTTCTGTGTAAGAACTCTGAAGAACTTGACGTAAGCAATACGTAATATTTGATTGTCCGAACATGCCACTTTTTTAGTCAGGCGCTCTAAACTGCCAGACAAAACTATAAAATTACATAAATTCTGGCACTTCTAGAGTTGCTGGAGAAAAACTGCCGCTGTAGCATAAAATTCTTGTAGTGTACAAGGACAGAAAGGTGTAAAATATATAACAAAATTATCATTTGAAGAGGGATACTGATTACACAAATAAACAATGACAACTACTGCAACTTAGGCATAAAATTGGAAGAGCTTTACTTGGTGGCAAATGTTGTTAATCACATTTTTATATATCTTATACATTTGAATTCATCTTTCAAGTACGATTTATATAACTTATAAATTTGCACTACAATGCAGTATAGTATTTGGGACATATCATGTCTTCTAAATTTCTAATAATTAGAATATGACACACTTGGTGTTGTTAGGAGGAAGCAGCATACTGAAAAGCAGAATTAATTTCAGTATGATACCATGAGCATAATATAAAAAGCCACAAGGTTTTTATAAGCATATCAGTAGAACTGCAAACTCAATAAATCAATCAATTTTATAAATATTACGATAGAAAATGAAACTACAATAATTTCAAATAGTCACAACCCAAGTGGTCAATGAGTACCATAAAACAAGATAGTGCTAAATTAACTGGTGACAAACAACCATAGAATGAAATTGATGGACATAAAACACTGAAATAGTGACCACTTAATTCAACCCAAGTGATACTCAAACATGAAAGATGTTCTCAAAGTATCGATGAACACGCCACTTAGGCTCATCATAAGAAAAATCACGAAGGCTTGATATATCATCAAGCTTCTTAAAGGTGTTGTCCTTAATGTTGTAGGAGATGATCATAGTTGTGTCTACAAATAGCACCAAAAACACATCCCCATCATCTTCTCCATGAATTAAACCAAGCACGCTGACCGTATCAGGGCGGACAACCATCTCCTGTTTTGATGCAAGATCAACCATCATCGAGTCAAGGCTAAACCGATACTTCAATGACCATTTGGAGTGATCACTTTCCATCTCAGAAATGTCGAAATTAAATCCGGTACCATCATTATAATCAATAAGATGCAAATGACCTCTGGACTCCACAAAATGCCAGGATTTAAAAGTATCAGGCTGATATGGTGGAGATGGCATTGGGTAAAATCTTTCTTGATCAACATCAAAGTATAAGGAAGTGTCTTGTGGTGGTGGGCTGAAGGAAATCCAATGGATGGAACCATTGCAATAGACTCCACTATCTAATTTCATAGTCAAAGGTGCCTTAAAAGGATGATGATGATCACCAATATTGGGTTGTGGCCCCCGCCATGCATGGGTTTCTGAGGAATAAATATGTACTTGACACAAGTAGCAACCGTAATATACTGAACTTCGAAGTAAAACAACTTTGTAGTGAAGTGATTTCAAAGGATCAAAAACCAAATATAAATATTCAGGAGGATAACTGCGACTGCGGGTAAAAGGCCAGGGAAGAGTGGAGACTTGCTTGGTGGTAGGATTGTAAACATGGTAAGACTTTCGGATACAATAATTAGCCTGCTTAGTTTCACAGCAGATGAGCAGTAAACCATAACGAGAGTCTTCTATGATCATGTCAGGAAAGAGGAGAGGGAGTGACTTGTTTTCATCTCCACTAGTAAAACTATTACATCGATTCTTCTTCAAGTCAGTGAGAATGAGAGGAATGTATTTGATGAATTCAGGTGAGTATCTAGCGGATAAGAAAAGGCCGGAGATTTTGGGATCATGGAATTGTGGATGCTGCTGCTGTAGCCAATGGAGGAGAGAGAAGCGGCGAGTGGAGATGAGAAAGAGCCATGGTTTAGAGACTGACCTGAATCGAAGGAGGGATTTCACAGGCAGACGCCTAAGGATCTCCTGTATCAGGTCGGCGTTGCGGCCGATGATTTCAGCAGCAGCAGCGACGGCGACAGAGATTTGGGCATTATTACGGTGGCACCTTTTAAAGTGAGAAGCCATTATTCTTCCCTGATCTCTCAATCGTTTCGATCTCACCTTCTGCTACCGCTTGCCTTGTGACCCTATATAGATAGGCAACGAAATCAAAACCCAATAAAACACTGACCGACTGACAACTTTAACATAGGAACGATTGGTTCGGTTCGGTCTTTTCCGATTCAATTTCAAATTTTGAAAACTAGGAACTGATTAATACTTTCCCTGTAGGCTGTATTATGACATATTTACTACTTAAAATAGATTATCCCTTCTTCCTCTCTTTATTCTCTCCTCTCAACCGTAATTTATCAGATCAGAGAATGTGATTTAGTGAAGCATTTAAATCCTATAGGTTAAATATTCTCTAAGTTTGAACCACGTCAACTAAAAGACTCCGATCCTCTTCCTCAATTGACACGTGACGTTTAAAATTTATCTATTAGTATTAAACAATATTAACTAATTTAAAAAAAAATTAAAAACTGCAACGTTTTAAGATAAGAAAAATTTATCACCGTTTTGAATTAAAGAAATTTCACCATACTCGAATGACATTACCTCTCTTTTATCTTTTTCAAAAAAACAATGCTCTACACTTGTAGTTAAAATAAGTACATTACATAATTTAAATCTTTTTTCAGCAAAAAAAAATCTTAATACAATATGTAGAATGATGACAATACAAAATATTGTTTGTAGTGATATTGTTGAGTTGAATTCTACTTTAACGGATCCATTACCTTTTTATTGTATTACCCAAATCAAAAAATAAAATGATAAAAAAATCTAAAATTTAAAAGTTTCCTGCAAGGTACCTAGGTTGTGTGAGTAAAATTTTAAATTTGTTACTATTTAAAAAAGAAACAGAGATCATCACGACTTGTTTAAGATATGAATAAAGAGGAGAAAGAGGAAGGATTTTTTTTTGAAAAGATGAGAGAGATAACGACGTTAAACATTGTTAGAATATGATGAATTTTCCTTAATTCAAAAGGGTTTTTAAATTTTGGTAGGTAAAGTTTTCAAATTTTCTTTAAATTAGTTGACGTGATTTAACACTAGTAGTAGATAGATTTTAAATGTTACGTGTCAATTTGTAACGAATTCAACTTAGGATAACTTAGAGAATATTTAACTTGGAAGATGCAACTCCTTTGTAAAAAAGATACACTTGAGTTGAATTATAGAAAGAAAAAGGAGTAGAAATTAGAATTGGTCTTATGGCATATCAGTCAATAGCTCTCATCGTTCTTCCTTCATTCTCTTTTATATATGTACATATATACACATATACACGGTTAAGCGATAGTCATAGACACTTACATATATAGGCGGACTAAACATCGATTTCACGTAAAGCTTGTGGGTCATCGAGACGGTTTCAACGAATTTGAAGACGACAATTGTATCTCTTTCAATTTTGCCCAAATTGATGATATGAGAGGTGGGATTTGGAGGTGTAGGTGCAAAAATTCGTCAATTACAATAAATTGAAGAATAAAGACAAAACACTCAATAAAAATAATAAAAACAATATGCAATAGATATTCAGAGGAAATTCGATATCTTTCATTGTAGGCTCGTGCCTTTATTTATACAAGATTTAATGATAAATTATGGGTCTTACTTGTCCGTCATGTTTGATTCAGCATTGTCCTTCGACATTTTGTTCTATATAAGGCTTTTCTTCTATATAAAATTCTTTCTTCATATAAATTATTCCATGTGGAGTTTTTTTTCTATATAGGGTTTGTGCTTCATATAGATTCTTCTTTGTGAGGCTCCTTGATAACATAATTGATCTGATCTGAATCCTGGTTAATGTTTATCCTAGCTGTATATTTGACTGAGGATAGATAAAGTTGATCTGGTGTTGAGCTGATGATAGTTTTTTTGGGCTTCGTCAAGCTGAGCTTAAAAATTATGTGGCCCAGAAAAACAAGTCACATTTTATTTAATGACGTGGCTGATGTTTATTGGTAGGGGGATTTTTTCTTCCATAGTTTAACCCCAATTCCCTCCTAATTTGAGTAACGGTCCCTAATTAGAAGGGAGTTGAATTTGCACGGTTGTTAGAAGTGTAAGAGGCGGTTTTGGAAGTGGCTATTGAACATTCTGACCAAAAAACTTCTTCAAAGCTCGTTTTCACCTTTATTGCATTCGCAGCTTTGTCGTTATATCAGGTCAATTTATACTTTTCTTATTGATTCCATATTATGAACACTTCACCCACTCACAATCAGATAGAGATTATGCATTCTGAAACCACTCATTCGGCTTCTCCTGTTCTTCTTAAAGTTCCTCCTCCAAAAGTTTCCAATCTTCTTAAGATTTCGGACGACTCCACTGCGAGAGGAGATGATTCTTCGCCACAAGCGGAGGAATCCACTTCTGGAACTGACAACATCTTTACCCGAGAGGAGAGGAAAATGATTTTGTCAGTCCGTTGCCTTAAGGTCACCATTGATTCCATAATGGAGGAATTTGAGATCCCTGAGGGAGTAGAAATAGTCAAATACCCTTTTGATTCCGATTTCAGTTCTGGTGAGTCTAACAACCCTGGTTTTTCAAGCCAGTGCGTCCTATGATGAACCAAAGTTTGACCCAACAACGGATCCAAAATACGGAAACAAAAACATAAACAAGGTCTCTAGGGATATATAACATCCCTAGGACGCCAAAGTGATCTTCCATGGAACTCCACAAGAACTGAAGCGGAAAAAAAAAATCGAAAAAAGACCAAATAAGCCCTCAAGGGCAAAATGGTATTTTTACATAGAAACAACATATCTAGAAATGTACATCATCCCTAAGACACAATCATGACTTCTCATGAAGCCATAGAAACAAAAGGAAAACAAGCGGAATCGACGTTTCAAAAAGGGATAAGTTTAGCCCCAAGGGCAAAATGATAATTTCTAGTAAGATCTATGTGTTACAGAGCACACCATTGGAAAGATAGCGAAAAATTAATCAAGTTAGACTCAAGAATCACTTAATTTGGAGTCCGGATGGAAGAGAAAAGTCAAAACAAAGTTTTGACGTTGCTGCGGCCGTGAATAGTGTTTTGACCGCACTGAACAATGTTTTGACAGCCGTGAATAGTGACCTGGGCAAAATGCTGAAATTCGTGTGCCGTTTTGAGGCACTAAACGACATTTTTTGGAAAAACATGAAGAAGAAACCCCTACCAAAATAATTTTTCCAAACTGACCATATAGAAAGAAAATTTTATTTTTGACGTAAAAACCCCAAAATGCCCTTATAATAGACTTTTTCAAAAAATGCATATGCGCACAGAAAATCAAATTTGACGCGGGGTTTTTGAGACCGATACGGAATTTTATGAAAAAATGTTGTGAAGAAACCCCCCCTAAAATCACTTTTTCTATGTGACCATGTCAAGGCCGGAATTTATTTTTCAAAAAAAATTCCCAAAATGCCCCAAAATCAGTTTAGGTAAAAAATAAAAAATAAAAAGGTAAACAACTTTGCACCAAGTGCTCATTTGACCTTAAATGGTGTTTTGTGCTAAAACGATCATGCACTCAAACGTAAATAGTGATTTTAAGCGCGCGGTAATGGTCCATGGCTCCCAAAAATGCTCGATACAAAATACGACCTATCCAAACCTCAAAATGCAAAGAAAATGCTTTAAATGGGAAACTTGAGACAAACAAGCATCCATTTCATACAAATGTGATATTTTATGCAAGGTGAGCATTCACACAAACGTAATATACATATTTACACGCGTTCCAATGGCCTACGATCTCAATAGTCGCTAAAAACAAAATATCACCTATTAAACTTCAAATTTTACCTAAAATGGCTTTAAAAGGAAAATTTGAAACTCATAATTACAAAATGGTTTCAAATGACCGTTTGGCCCTTGGCCACACTTCATGCATGATTTAAGAGACCCTGTAGAAGTGTTAAAACTCACTTCCCACCACCCATGCAAATGTAGTGACGTTAAAGTATGACATTTTCCCATTTTTCAATAAAATAGACATAAAAGTAAAAGTGCTTAGAATAGAAAATAAATATCATTGGCCCATGTCCTCATCTCATACATGTCAAATATATCATAAATGGCGCACTTAGGTGCTCATTACATATTTAGAACCAAATAAACAAGTTTTGACATTTTGAATCAAAAATAGCATTTCATGCTAACATTTTCATGAAATAGATACTTGAAGTCTAAAAGATATCCCAAAGCAAATGCAAAGCCCCAAATCTTGAATCATGTACCTGAAAAATGTCCCCATTACGTGGGTGAGTAACATAAAGTTACTCGTAGAAGATGAGCATGCATAGACCTAATATTTTACAAACTTATTAAGTTGCTATAAATCAATTCATACAGTCATGCCACCTAGCATCTATGTTAAAGGTGAGACTCAGGGAACATCCTAAGCTACCTTAGAGCATTTCTAGCATAAATCACATCATTCATGCAATTTAACAATATAGGAGCATATAGTGTAATGCAACAAGACATAGGTTTTAAAAGTTATCAACTTATAACCTAAAATGTGAAAACAACCGAAACGGTTCATGCCACCTAACGTCTATGTTCCAAATGAGTATAAGGAATCATCATAGGCTACATTAAATAATTAATACCCAAATTACAATATCAATACAATTTTAACTAACATTATAACTTCTAATACAACGCATCAAAGCATATATTATCAAAGTTAACAACTTGAAATCTAAACTATGAAAACAACAATGTCACGTGTGATGTGTAAATTTTTTTTATCTACAGCCAATACACTGCTACTTTATCAATGTGTAAAATTATTGTGTATTTTATACAAACTTTTTACACAACCACATCAACATAATTTCTTTCTCCTCCCTATTTCTCATTCCATTAACCAATCAACTCTATATTAAGTAGGTTTGTACAAATTATGTGGGTCCAAACATAATAATGGTTGATTGTTATTGGGGGATATATTTTTACACAAAAGGTATAAAACAACCGTTGGAGTTAAAAATAAATA